TATATATATATATATATATATATATATATATATATAGAGGTTATTAAAAGTATATATTTATTTGCAACATCGAAGAAATAAATTACAATTTTCTGTTACAGAAATAGTCTACAAACACGTCTATCGTTTCAGTGAAAAAATGTTGGCATATTCTGCTTTCGAACGACATTGGTTGTATCAATTGTAACTATTTTTACGACCAATGTTACACGCTACGATACAACTACTAATTATATAAATGTTCGTGGATATCGTCGACATAATACGTCTGTTAATTGCGACAAACGAAACGAATTCGAACAGGTTCGTAGTGTTCACGACATGAAAAATTTGATTGTTAATTTCAGAACGTGACACGTTAATGTCCACAATTTTAACGCAGGGATGTTAATTATGGCCAATCAAGTAACTGAATACAATAGCTATGATGAAAATAATCGTTTATGATATGTTTACATTCATTTCGCGATGTAAAGAAAAGAAGTATAAGAAAAAAAGGATAATCTCTTTAAAATTCCTTTCATAATGACTATTTATGTTCTTGCGTACAGTAAAAAGACATATCAGAATATTTCTAAGTTTTCATAATGAATTAAAAAAGGAGCCCAGTGAATAACTGTATCTCCTTCTGAAACTAAAGTGTAAAAAAAAAAACTTGTGATTCGCGATATTTTTCGCTGTCCATGCGAAATGTGCAACGCACAATTATCACGAAACGATGAATTAGTATTCCAGCGGCGAATTTGTTCTCGGCTTATTATTTTCCAATCCCTCCCACCCGCGTTGCTTTGCTCGAGAGCTCGAGAGATGGAGAACTGGTTGGAATTACGCCTGGCATGCCAGTGCATTTATCTCTCATCGGCTACAAAGTAAAACCAGTATATCTAGCGGATGCCGATGGTGTATCGTACGCGGCAGCAAGCTGCTACTATACGCAGCCTCCAAGGGGATAAATCTTCCCTTTTGACGTTCGCCTTTCGATATTCCACTCGACACAGCCAGCGATATGTCCACGATTTTTTCCAACGATTTTTGGGACGAGCTACGCTACGAATAAAAATATTTTAATCCTCTCGTTCTTACGACTTCTTCGTTTTATTTGCAATATAAAAATATAATACATGTAGGTGAAACGTACATATAATGAAACTTTTCCTTCATAGTATTAAATGTTTTCAGTCATATCAATATGTTTTCGAACATGCCTTTTTTACGGCCATCGAGTCTGGATTTCAATGAGAAATTCGTCGAAGTTTATATTTTTGAAAGAAACAAGATAGGGAACGATACGCGATATCTCTGTTCATATAGGGAGCATAAATTGTCTACAAATATGAATACCTATGAAAATTGATCGCGATCGTTAGCAGCTGCCATTTCGTTGAAGTGCCACGGCTAAATTCCCGATCCAACAAATGTCTCTTTGTGCCCGAGTATAAGGAACGCTGATCTGTAACATTTACAAATCCACTGACTCGTGAATCACGGTTATTATAAATTCCAAAGGCGATGATCCAAAATAAACGTGAAGAAGGCAGCCAAGAGAACCCTGTTCCAAGAATACCGACCGGAGTACGTTCGACTCGAGATCTCCTTGGAACCGCAATTACAGTTTTTCCACATTTCCGCTGAACTCCGTACTCCGCGATCTGACCGGCAAGAAAACTAAACAGGTCGGTTATAATCCCAACCACAGAGACACCAAGATGCTGTGACAACAACTTCTTGAGTTTTTCAGTCATCGAATGTTAACGACGAGAACGTCAATATTGGACGTGTTGTAAGGGCTTATGTTCAATAATTCAAGACGATCAAATTGTACGAATGGATTGTCCAGCAGTTTCACTGCGATGGTCATCCGTACTGGAGAAAGTGATGCTATTCAAAGAGATGAAAGAGTCAAGCAAGCTAGCATTCTCTAAATTAACGATTCTAAATTATCCAGACGAACCGGTGGTTGATTAACACGTTCCGTGCCAAGCCATTTTTG